CACTGTGGGCTTCCTGGCGGTCGAGCCATCGTCCTCTCACTTTCACTGGCAGTCTCTCGGCCTGCCCTCCCTTCTCTGCTCTGTTCCTCATCCCTCTTCTCACTTGCCTCTGCTGCCTCCCATTTATATTCTTCATGCTAATTTCCATTTTTTTTCGATTTTCTTCTATTCATTCCAGTGCGTTCAATGGCTTCGCATGTTTATCTCGTTGCACGAGAGGAGGGCTGCTTGCCGTGAAATTGCCGTCTTTGAGATGTGCAGGCATCGTGAACTAGGCGCTCCCGTGCTGCGGACAAAATCCATAGACCGACTTTGCATGGCCATCGGAAGAATGCCGTGTTGTTGACGATAAGGTGGCCGGGGGGGGGGGACAGTATCTGAACATCGCTAACTCGGTCCCATGGCCTGTGCCCCTTTTGGCTGTTGCTAATTGGCACTGTCTGTGTACAGGAAGCACTTTTCGAGCTTGCTAGGTAACAAGCCGAGCATTGCTGCTGTACGAAATAGCTTTACTGTGCTTTGAGATGAAGCCTGTACCCAAATCAGCAGAATTGCATTTTATCGTGGATGCAGTCGAGGGTCGCTGATGGCCACGCAGCCTAAGAGAGTACTATCGAAATTTTGGGTGATGCGAGGGGCGTGAGGGATAACAGAAATATTAATTATGATACATATTTATTTATAAATTCATATCGAAAAAAAAATAAAACAAAAAACTGGATGAACAAGAATGTTTCAACCCATCAATTGACAGACATTCCTATTCAGCACCACAACTGGACCTCATCAGTACGATAGGCTGCACTACCGGCAGCAGAACGGGAGAGAGGAAGATCGCCTTGTTCAGCAGTGGTGGTGTGCTGGATTATGCTGAGATCGGGTAACGGTGTGTTTTGGATAGCGCCGGGATTTCAGCATTGTGCAGGATTTGCATTGCAGGAGCGATGGATGCTGCTGTTGCTAGCCTACCAGTCGATGCAGGTCGTATCCGCGAAGCTATCGCTCAACAAATACGGCAATTTGGTAGCATTTTTTTTTTTATTCTGTGAGGAAATGGCCGCGGTTGTCCATGGACTACTCAGTGTTTCGCAGAAACGGCTTCTGTACACATAATGAGTTCACACAAAAAAGTAATTACACACTGTAATGTAATGCGCCGGCAGGTATGACCGCACTGTTGTTGTGTAGTAATTCGAAGTTTCGACTCTGCGATGGGACAGCCGATTCGTTTCGATGGTAAATCGATATTTGGCATATGCTTGAGAAGTCAAATCCGCCATCAGCTTGCTTGTAAGCAACCCTCATGAGAAGGAGTCATCGACGGTCTTTCCAGCGAATAGTTGCTGTTGGCATTGCTACCCCTCAGACTATTTCCTGGGTATTCCCGCCTCTCACTGAGAGCAAAATACAGAGGAATTTCTGACTTTTGAGTTTGATTATAAATGCGGTTGGGTTGAGAGAGGGGGTGGTTCTCGGACAGATCAGTTTAATGTCGGGTTTCCCCTATCGGCAGTCCAGACACTTCTGCCGCCATGTGCATGAAATCGCTTCCAATATCAAAGTAATGTTACAGGTATGGATAAGCTGACAAGTCGAATTATTCGTGAGAAACTCAAAGAAACATTTCATGCAGATTTCTCAGCCCATAAAGCAATAATTGACAAAATTACCATGGAGGTAAGCTGGAACCGATGGGTTTTTAAATTTTCTAAAAAGCTAAAATTTTGACAGAATTTTGGCAAATAGAAAATGCTGCTTGTAAAATTAG